TTACAATTGAGATGAAAAAAAAAATGTGCAAAATGATGTAAAAATAAACTTTTTAATAAAAAAAAAAATTAGGAAGTGTCCTTTCTGAGTTTAAGTGGGAAGGAAGGCGGATCACAATAAGGAAAATATCCAAAATTTCTAATGATAGACAATGCTATAAAAATCTATCAGACAGAAATGCTTTCTGGAAGGAACAAAAGTACAAAGGGATGAAATAAAACTGAAAGGGAGTAGAGGTTTCACCAGCACAAGGGCACTTCAAAGACGTGACTCTGAACCCATCAGAGTATTGAATATTTTCTCCCACCCAATTAAAAAAAATAAACTAATCTCTTTTGTTAATCATTTCATAAAGTTCCAGTGATCTCCCTAATTGAAATTATTCAAGATAAAGTTTTGAAGTAATAAATGTCACATGACTCTGATAGGTAGAGAAAATAAGATAAGAATAAGCCCTCCCCCCTTTTTAAATGTCTTCTGTGCTACCAGAGAAGATCAATATGGCAAACTCCAGAGACTAGTGATCCTGTCTCGGTGGGTGGATGGTGCAAGGAGACAGGAATAGTGTCACTAGCTCTACTGCTATGGATTACCACTGTAGGGATTAATAGAAAGAAGAAGAAGAAGAAGAAGAAGAAAAAAAAAAAAAAGCACCATTTGAAATTGAACTTTCTTTCTAAGAGAGAGAGAAAGCATATAAAAGCTTTTGGATCTGTGTCAAGGGAGCAAAGATATTTTAAAAGTTTGGCAGGAAACCAAAGAACTACACCCACATGCAAAGCTTAACTGCTTCCAGCACACTAACTAGACCACATATTTCCCCAGCTGGGAAGTGCTGGCAGGGCTTGAAAATCTGAGAAGGGTAGGGCTGCCTGGCCATATTGCTTAGTAACATTCCCAGATGAGGGTGGAGGGACTTGACTATATATTCTGAAGAAATGTTCACCTTTAGCCTCAGTCAAAGGACTCTTGGGCAAGAGGAGAAACAAACAAAAAGGGAAATTATAGTGTGGATTGGTTTACCTTCGGAGAGCAGTTGAAATGCATGCCGGGTACTGGTAGTGTAGTTACATACATTGTAATACACCGATACAGGTACAGCGTGCCAACTATGCAGAAAAATCTTCTGCTAATAATAGACCTAGAAAAAGGGAAAAACAGGGCACTCAGTCATGAAATTCCACAGGTTCATTTACTTTAAGCTTTCAATGACCCAACGAACCAAACCCGCAGCTTTTTGAGAAGTTGAAATGAGAATGTTCTGGACATAGCTAACAGGAGCTTAAGGTCAGGATTTTGAGAATGGCTTTTTAAAATATTAACTGGCCCAAAGAGTTTAAAATGTTCTTAATTAGGCTTTGAGAGGCCTTAAATTTGAGTTGACATTTCACTGATGTACCACTGGGGCCTATTCTGGTTTGTCAGAGCTGACTCGGTTCCTGTGGCTGAACATTAAGAGGGTGTCTCTTCTGTCATAAAGGGAAGATGCTCAAAAATTAAAATGACATTAAAATGAGAATTCAAAACTTTTATGACATTCAATGAGTCAAATGATTTTATTTGTCGATCCCAGAGAAGATTCTGTGAGCTGACCTTCCAGAAAGCACAATGCCAGGAAAAGCGCCTGTCTGTGGACAGCACCTGCACTCACCTCTCTCTGGCACTATGTGGTCTCGCCATAACCTATAGCAGGCACTTCTGAGCCTCAGTTTCCTAATCTGTAAACCAGGATAGTAATGGTATAAACAATGTGGAGAAAATCCCTGTCTCACATGCACAATGGTAGCCATTAACTGCATAGGATTTGTGAATGTTTACCAATATAAGGAAGAGATAGAAATACAAATCTTTTCCATTTCCAGTTGCTCTCAGTGGTTTGAATGAAATTATCTGACACATCAGAGAACATGCAAACTGAGCCTGTGGATTTCTCCTACTGTCAAGCTCACATAGACTTACTTTACTTAAACTTTACTTTTAGTGTATCTTGGACAAGCACATTCTATCCCTCCCTACTTCTTTCCTGTTCTACCAGAGGCCAGAATCAGTCCTACAAGTATCTTCTTTCTCAATCTTCAGTTCAAGTTTCAAGATTGGCCTGGGGAAACCTGAGCTAAACAAAACAAATAAACAAAGACAATGCATTGTTTTTGAGATTACACAAACAGAAAGAGGGTCAATATTAGATGATAATACTATACATATCTTAGCAAGAATACTTGAAATACCAAAGTGAATTTTACATCCTAAGATCTAAACGATCTGAGATTCAAAAGACATGTTCTAATATATAATTTCTTTACAAAGCAAATACACTCCCACCATCTCAAGCCATCCTGCTTAAATAAACACAAATTACTTGCAATTTTACTTAAGCTATTCAAGAAAAACCTGTTGACAGAAAACTGTTAAGTCGATCCAGATCGTTTTAATTCCTTCCTTTAGAGGAACAACAATAACAAAATGATGGCTCTCATTCAATTTTGGAAGAGACCACTATCTTAAAATTACTTCGTCCAGTTGTTTCATGGTCTATAGAACACCCACGAACCTCAGCTAATTATTTCCTTATCTCATAGCCCACACTGGAGTCACAGGAGTAGCAGTGAGAGGATTTCAGGTTAGTCTGAGAATGAGGTGTATGAAAAAATGACAAAGAATGGAGAAAGACAAATCCTCTCTCTGTCTCTCTCACACACACAAAATTAATGCAACAACCATGGAAGATTTAGTCACATTTATTCTTTGACTTGAAACGAAAAGTCAAATGATTTTTCCCATGTGGCCCCATCAGCGTTAATAACATCATAAATTGGAAGTGGCTGTTCATAAGAATCCTCTGATATTTGGCATTTCTTAATCTTTTTGAAATCAAACCTACAATATCTTCAATGTATAATGAAGGCTAAAGAGGTTCTCCAACCATAAACTTAAAAGAGCACAATGTGTTTCAAAGAATGGTCTTCAGTTAAGGTATTTACTTCCTAATCAAATTACTTCATATATTAGCATTCTTATTTAAAGGTTTAAAATAAGTTCAAATTATGTTTCCAAAAAGGTTTAAAGTAGTTAAAAATGTAACAAGGCAACAAAGAGTCACTGAGGAAACCTTAATGAGATATTATTAGAGACCAAGTACCAAAAATAAGACGCACATATTATTCATAAAACCACAATGATGCTTTTATCATATGGGAAACATGTCTCCATTCAAGTTGGAAATAGGTCTGTTTCCTATCCACTCACACTTTGCAATTACATATCACTTCACGGACACTTAGAGTTGGTCACAGTTATCTATTCTCCCACGTATTTGAGTTAATACTCAGTATTTTTTTTTGTGAGACTAAAAGGAAAAAAATTGTAAAGTTTGATTATTATTATAAAGTATGAATAAAAGTGTTCATATTTTATAGATATTTACTAAGACCTGCTAGAATAGACTTGCCAGAACAGGTAATTTTATTAAACTTTTTAATATCCCCACTTAAAAATGTACAGTGCTCAGACCTGATCAAATACACCCAGATCAAGCTTTCTAGAGCAGTACTACAATGTTGTCAGCTTCTAGTACATAATCTAAAACCCTAAAGGAAAAATGATGAAAGGAAGTGATATAGTGGAAAGTAAAGTGAAATACTGCAAAGTTCTTTTGTTTCCTACAAGTTGTCTCTTTCAACTAAACCACTGCCAGAAGACATACAATTCTTTCAGCCCTTGGACTTAGTCAGTAAGCTCTTGATGGGAACTACTGGCTTTAGTCAACAGGTCCTGAAGTGCAGTGGTAGAATTAGGTAACAATCTAAAACTAAGAGGTGATAAAGAGGAGGGCACACATAACTGAAATAGAATTGGGGAGGCAAGCACAGAAGTCAGTGTGTAATTCAAGACCATGACTAGATCCCAATAGATGCTAAGTGGACTAGGTGACATTAAGCTGCTCTTTCGACAGGGTGAGCTCTACCGTTAACAAAATTTCACTTGGTAGCCTGGACCATTTTTAATAATTTCCCTGGAAATTTATTTCTTTGCCAACAAAAGAATATCACCTTTTTTTTATGAATCGTAAAGACAATATTAAGGTCTTTCCCTAGGCTGTTATGAATAGTAGCTAGAGCTTTGCTAAATCCCCCCGTATACCACTCTCTGTGAGATTTAGTTTTTAAAATAATCTGCAAGGCAAGACTCTGATCCTATGTAACAGACAGGGGCACTGCAGCTCAGACTTTAAACTGAACTAGAAATATTTTATGCAAGACATACTTTTTAGGAAATTGTTTCCAATTGTTTAAGAAGTCCCAATTTGACAGTACATTGCTGGACACCTATAGATAACTCAATATTTATGTATTTATTTATTTATTTATTTTTTATTTGAACTCAATATTTAAAAAACATTTTGAAATCTACTTAATCCAGATTTTCCAGTTATTATTTTATATAGTATTTCACATTGATTCAGAACACCACAAAATAAGCATTTTGGTAACATTATTAGCTATTAAAAGTACTTAAAGAAGTATATGTTCTTAGTGATCCATTTTCCATATTTCCATTGTAGGCCCAGTTATAGTTACTTCCAGTTCCTCCATTTCATTCTGAAATAACTTATACTTTTCATTCTAATGCATGTGAGCCCACAATGACTGTCTACCTGTTGTTCCTGCTTTTACTCATGCTTCCTGAAGCCCGTTCTATATAAAGCAGCCGGAATACAGAGTACTACATAGTCTTTAAAACTCTTCCACTGACTACAAAGATACTTTGAGCAAAATCTAAATCCTTTGCCAAGCCCATGAGGCCCACGATGATGATTTTCTAACATCACCTTCCCATGCTCTGGATGCCAGCTTCAGTCCAACGTTGTGGATCCTTTTGAACACACCTCCTGCCTAGGTAGGACCTCAGTGCTGGCCATTTCCTCTGCCTGGAAGCCTAGAACACTGCCTGTCATTCAGGTCTCTGAGAGACTATCTACTGTCTCTCTCTAAAAAAAGTTCTTTCCTCATCCTTCTACTGTACTATCGTTACAAACCATGTAACCTGCCCCCACCCCCCAATCTCTGTATTTGTTGAAAGTAAATCCAAACCATTTCTGACATCTGTTTTTCTCCCTTAATTCCCTGCTACCGGCCTGGAGTCCCTGGATTATGCCAGCTTCTCACTACTAATTGCTGAAGTGCAAGTTACTTTATCTGCCTTGTCTTTGACAGGAATCCCAGGACCTGAGCAAAAGGAGCCATTCATCATCCCCCCAAACCCTGGTCTCTTGCTTTGCCAGCAAGTCTCTTGCTGCCCTCATTTCATTCTTCACTTCAGAACCTTTATTTCTGTTTTATGGTATTTTTAATCATCAGGCTGGCATAGTCATTACCAACAGAGGGTCTCAACCCTTCTATTAAAGAACACTCTTAAAGCTGTGCTCTATTCATCTTTTAGTCTCAGTGAGTTATTCTGGGACCTGCAATACTGGCAACAACATGAGGTTCTGTGATTAAGAACTTCATTTCTTATTCCATGTCACAGTTCTTTCCATACGTGGTTTCTCCTTTAAGTCCTTTCACCTATCTGCCAGTATTAACTGGCCCTGAAGTCACCAAGTCTTTACCCTGCATCCATTCTGCAATGATATTTTAATTTACAGACCTTGCTGACATTGCTGCCTTCATCCAAACAGAACCTTAAACCCTGGAATCTGGGGACCATGAGTCTTGTCCTCTAGCCCTGCTCCCTCCCTGTGCCCTCACTGCCCAGACTGGGCTTCCCTACCTATGACAGGAGTCGCCACCATTCCAATTCAGTATTAAGGAAAGAAAATTCTAAGCAAAGGTCTATAAACAAATGAAAGGGGAAGAATAAATGCTACAACAGTAAAGTAAAACTGTATGTCCCCTGGCAGATGTACAGCTCATTTACTATTTTCTGGGTACCACATTGATGAGTGGCACAGCCTGTGAATCAGGAGAGTGAGCAGACCCATGGACCAGCGCAGAAATGCATCTGTCCAGAAACAACTGTGACTGTCTTTCTGTCTTTTAGAAATCCAACTTAAAGTGATTTCACAACTTTGTTGTTAATTATTTTGACCACACTCCTGATTAATATTTATTAATTATCCCATTTAACAGAAGAAAAAATTAA